GAGATGTTTCGCTTCTATTTTATAGATAGCAATAAAATTTTGGAAATGAAAATTGTAACAAAATTAAGGAATGCATTTTATTGGTGAGTAGCGTGGTAGTTACGAACAAAGAATTATACAATATGTAACGTAATTAACGCACACCCTCAGACACCCCAATTAGTACATTATGTTATAATCATAATACTTTATATCATTTTCATAATACATACAACACTGAATTTTTAGTTATTTTTATGCACTGATTATTTATCAAATTAGTTATACTAATTCCGGAAGAATGTTGTGGTCACAGTACAAATTCATGAACGCAAAGACTTTAACGTTACAGAGAATTCTAAGATTCATTTTTACTTTTTATATTTTACTAACTTGGCAAAGGCATCTATAACGATACTGCCTAGTCCGACGTTTATAATTTTTTACAATTTATTAGTGTTTGACTACAAGTTTTTTTTTATGTTTTTGTTTTGGGAATTTTAATATTAAACTTATTGTTTTATTTATTTAAGTTGTTGTTGTGTTATATGCTTTCTCTTTCATGCTGCTGGTGGTTGTAATTGTGTGGGTACCGTTCGATTTTGCATTTATATTTTTTATATTTTATTTTTATTGTATATTAGTATTTATTTGTATATTTAATTAGTTTTATGTTATCCTCAAACATTTGTAATGATAGTGATTTGTTTCTGTCCTTGTCTTCGGATGATGAGACACTTAGTGATGTTAGTTATCACAGTACAACTGCTTCTCCTTCACTCAACATCACCTTAAATTCTTGTTTCTCAGACTGTGTGAATAATTTCAATGCTATTCATATTAATGCCCAAAGCATTCCGGCTCATTATCCCGACATGCTTGCGTCATTTGAATCCCGAAATATTCATGCCATTTTAGTTTCAGAATCTTGGCTAAAACCCTGTTTGCCTTCTACTTCTTACTCTTTGCCTGGGTTTCATCTAATTAGAAATGACCGCAGTAATAGAGGTGGTGGGGGGCGTGGCGATCTATCTAAGATCCTACTTTCCATTTAAAATTGTTAGTTCGTCATGTTAACCGCCTCCTGGTGATTCTGCTGAGCATTTGCTAGTTGAGGTCTCCCTGTCTCAGAATAAAATCCTACTTGGAGTTTTCTACAGTCCCTCTCTTTCTATAAACTATTTTACTTCTTTTGAATCTCTTTTAGAATCACTAGTCCCTACATATAGTCATACTATTTTGATGGGTGACTTTAACACCTGTTTACTTAAAGGCGACAATCGGGCAATAAAACTTGAGTCTATAATTGAAGCGTGTAATATGCAAATCCTACCCCTTGCTGCTACTCACAAATTTCCTAACTGTACTCCTTCCCTTCTGGACTTAATTATCGTGTCATCTTCAAACCTAGTTTTCAAGCATGGACAGTGTCCTGCTGATGCATTCTCTTATCACGATTTACTTTTCCTTTCGTATAAACTACGCCCTCCTAAAATCAAACCTAAATTAGTTCTGTGACGTAATTTTGGAGGAATGGATATTGACCAACTTTGCGAAGATGCTCATAATATTGACTGGTCAGTGATTGAGAGAGCACCATGCATTGACGATAAAGTGGAACTTTTCAATTCCCTTCTCACTCAGCTATATGACGTACACGCGCCAATGCATTATGTTAAACTCAAGCACTTACCTGCTCCATGGCTCTCTGATGATCTGAAAAGGCTAATTTTGAAGAAGAATGCGGCATTGTCAAAGTTTAAGAGGAACAAAACAGAGGAAAACCTTAGAAAATACACTAAAATCCGGAATCGCTGCAACACATTGTGTAGAGATGCACAACGACGCCATATTCATTCATCAGTCGAGAACGGCGACTCATCTAGGGTGTGGAAGTTTCTTAAAACAGTTGGAGTTGGTAGAAACTCTCTTAATACTTCACCTCCCAGTGTTGATGTTGAACTATTAAATCAACATTTTTCTAATCCTTCTAACTCTTTTGATAGTGAACATAAACTGCAAACACTTCGTTCTCTTTCTGTAAGTCCGACTCCTAATTATTCTCCGTTCGTTTTTAGTCAATTTACTGTATGTGATGTTAAGAGAATCATATTATCCATCTCCTCAAATGCTGTCGGTAGCGACAGCATTAGCCGTAATATGATCGTTCCTCTCCTTGATGTTATCACTCCCATTATCACTCATTTGCTTAACGCATGTGCGTCTTCCTCTAAATTCCCACAAGCCTGGAAGAGTGCTTATGTTATACCCCTTCCGAAGAAATCTAATCCCGTCAACCTCACTGATTTCCGTCCCATTTCGATTTTACCTTTCCTTTCTAAAGTCCTTGAAAAACTTATTTGCCAACAGCTGACACTTTTCCTTAATAAGCACAATTTGTTGAATTCTTTACAATCCGGTTTCCGTCCCGGTCATAGTACGGCTACTGCCTTAATTAAAGTTACTGATGACATACGGTGGGGTATGGATAATAAACAACTCACAGTCATGACCTTGCTAGATTTCAGCAATGCGTTCAATACTGTTGATTTCGATATACTGTTGAGTCAGTTGTATTCCCTTAACATATCTCCATCAGTAATTGACTGGTTTCAAAGTTACCTCTGTGGCCGTCGGCAGTGCATTCATGTTGATGAAACTCACTCATCTTGGTGTGATATTACTGCAGGCGTGCCGCAGGGTGGCGTGTTGTCACCTTTACTCTTTTCCATTTTCATTAATTCAATTACTCATAAAATTTCTTCTCTCTACCACATGTATGCGGATGATGTCCAGATTTACACCCAGTCAACTCTTGAGAATTTGCCAAATGCAATCGCTACATTAAACAATGACTTAAATATGATTCATGAGTGGAGTCAATCATATGGCCTAAATGTCAATCCTAAAAAGTCACAGGCTATCATTTTTGGTAGTCAGAGCTTTATCTCAAGAATTGACTGGTTTTCCATACCACCTGTTGTATTCGATGGGGTTGTGATCCCTTACTTTGACAATGTCAAAAATCTTGGTGTTTACCTTGATAGTTCCTTAAATTGGAAACGCCAACTGAATGAGGTAAGTAAGAAAACCTTTGTCGCTCTTAGTTCACTGCGTCGCCTTCGATCATTTCTTCCCATTCCTACAAAAATTATGCTCGCACAGTCTCTTCTCCTTCCGATTCTCGACTATGCCGACGCAAGCTATGTAGACATAACGAAAGACCAGCTAACTAAGCTTGAGAGACTTCAAAATACTAGTATTCGGTTCATATTTGGATTGCGCAAATTTGACCACATTTCCCAATTTCGCTCACGTCTCAAGTGGTTACCTATCCAATTTCGCCGGAACATGCATATTCTTTCTATTCTGTACTGTGTCTTATTTCACCCTTCTACTCCTCCTTATCTTAAGGAGAAATTTAGTTTTGTTGGGCTTCCAGGGGAACCTTTACGCTCTTCAAGAAAACTCATTTTAAGGGTACCAACTCACAATACATCTTTCTTTAATAAATCTTTTACTGTACAGTCTATTAAGCTCTGGAATGCCCTACCTTTGTATTTACGTGAAGCTCAGACTATTGTAGTCTTTAAGCGACTTCTTAAAGAGCATTACTTGTCTCAATCGTTCGAAAATCATTAGGATAAATTATGTGATTATGTAGTTTTGTATTTATTTGTTTATGTTATTGTTAGTGGTATATATTTGAGGATATATGTAAGTATATATGTGTATGTGTGTATATGTATGTATGTATATGTATGTATATGTATATATATATGTATATATGTGTGTGTGTATGTTTATGTATTGACGTAATGATGATAAATGATGACGATATGTATATGTGTATCATATTTTTTAATGTATTAGTTATTTACTTATATGTTATTTTATTGCATGTATTGATATTATATTAGGTATATTTATATTGCACCACCTACCTAGTACTCACTGTTTTATTCCTTTACACCTTTGGTTGCCTGGAAGAGATCGCTATGTAGCGATAAGGCCGCCAAATTGTACATGTAATCTGCTCTCTGTTATGTTCTTTGTAAATTTGTTTGTGGTGTGCAATAAAGTATATTCATTCATTCATTCATTCAACGTGCTTGAAGTAAAATTCATTTTTCTTTATTTTTATTGAATGACAGAACTAGTAATAATACAAATAAAACTGCACTCTTAAAAGTCTTATAGCCTTAAGTTACGGTCCATTTCAGTTTGTTTTGACTGTACAGATAAATCTGTAGTCACACTAAAGTGTGACTGTAATTTACGTCGTATTAATTATATTTGGGATAAAAAATTACCTATATTAAAAATGATACGAATCGATTCAGTAAACGATTCTGAACAAATTACTTTCTTAAAGTGCGTTAATTATGTTACGTGTTGTATATAAGAGGAAAGGTTGATACAATGGAACGCTAATGAGGGTGCAGGCCCACCCGGATATCTATTAGACACTACATTCGTCGCTCGCTCAGTCAGAAGTAGACGTATAGTGTGTTGTTCTAGCTTTTCAATTATAAAATTTAAAAATTTAATTTTAACATGATTTATATTTGGAATCTAATTTAGTGGTGCATAAAGTTTAATCTAGCAGTAAAAGTTTCTTCACACTTAATTCCTATTATAACCGCGTAATACAACGTTGCGACGTGACGTGCTGCCAGTGCTGCCCTTCACCACACCCCTCGAGTAAAGGAGACAACCAGCGATTTTTCTTCCTGCGCACACGCATATTTTTACATACACAGTGCTAATACTCGTTGACCATCTTAACATGACCATGAAACGGTCGCCACCCGGTTCTAGAGCGGGCTCACCTTTTAGTGTTGAATCTATGAGTGGCTAAAACACCGATCTACCTACTAACGATTATCATAAAATAGCACATAGAAAACAAATAGATGCAGATTTCGTGTCGCCTTCTCAGCTGACAGAATTCAAAACTGAAATAATGGAATTCTTCAATAATTTTGGGAACTCACAGAAGAAAGAATTTAAAAGTTGAAATGTCACAAATTAAAGGAGTAAAAGACGACGTCACGATTATATGGGAACAGCTGGAATCTATAAAAATCAGTACTGTGAAAATCACTCGCGAGCATAGTGAGATGATGAATGATATTTCTGAATTGAAAAACTCGTTAAATTATCATTCAGCTGAACAAACTACTCTGACAATACGTATTGATGACGTGGTATCGGAGATCAAAAAGGTTTATCTGTTCCAGCAAAATGTATCGGAATTACAAGAAATATGAATCTCTGCGAAATGAATATAATTTCATACAGCAACGTGATCGCGCCATGAATATTGAGATCTCGCAGATCCGCGAAAAAAAGAATTAAATTGTCTTAAAGAATGAAATGTGCGAATCCTAAATATGAATACGTTTGGGTTCGTAACTGTAAAATTTATATAAGGAAAGACGATAATTTCACTAAAATTTACATAAAAACTCTTTAGATTTAAATAAAATTAAATAACTGTATTACTTTAAATTACGACTATTGTTATTTATCTTAAAGGGTTTACTCGTATTGTTCTCTAATATGTAGACATTTTTCAAATATTTTATTATATTTACTATAGACTGATTATTTTACATAAACTATATACTTTATTCTTTATACTATATTATTATTTATACATAAGTGGATATAGTAAGTCAGTTTAAATTCTAATTTCGTCCCCACTAGGGTTTGGGAATTCCCGACAATTTCAAAGTCCCGGGACACGAGACAGCCTACAATCAAAGTCCCGGAATTCCCGGGTCTTCGAGACTTAAAATTTTTTTAAGAGGTGTACGCCTTTTATAAAGAATTCTAATTGAGTTAATTTCTTGTTAAACGTATTAAAAAAAGCAATTTTTTTGTAGAAATCAACATTTATTAAACAGAAAATTAAATCCTAATAACTTTAACGTTAAGTTCAGTCTTAATAATTGCTTCGTTTATTACTTTTAATCACAGAAATTCACTTTTAAGTAGTTAAATCTAATAGTTGTAAAACGAATTTAGTTAAAAATCGTACTAATTCTTAATAACTTTATTATTATCTAGTAATTCTAATATCTAATCATTGGTTATAATCACAACACAGTTAATTCTTATAATTATAGATTTGTTTCATCGTTAAATAATCTAAATATAAATAATAAACCACACATAAATCAGTCTTTTAAATAATCAACTAACACATTAATTAGACTTCTTTGCTAATTTAATAAAATAGGCTTTTAAAAAAAACAGAGCGTCAAAAGCTTTGTCTGACAATCTGTTTCTGATTTTTGTAATAATATCACCGGACAAGGAGAACACTCTCTCGTTTTCAACAGATGTCGGTTTAATTGCGTTTAAGGCTTCATACAGTACAATTGAAACTGCTTTTTTAATGTTGCTCTTTTTTTTTTGAATTTCGGGTACATTTTCTAGGATATTTTTATTGCTTGTTCAATTTGATTTACAAAATACTCGTCAGGCTCGTTGTGTACTTGAGAGCTACTAGTATTACATAGGTTCAGCGCCCATTATTTCCACATCTGGTGTCCGGATACTAGAGATATTTTCGAAACGCCTTTGTAGGCTTTTCGAATATATCCCCATTTATTTTTGAATTTTGAAATGTTACAATTCTTCCACAAATCTTAGTGCAGTTCTTTTCGTAATATTCGAGGTAAAAAAAGTCCGCGTTTTGAGAATGTGAGGTGTGGTTACTAGTGTGCAAATATTTTAACAAGCTTACAACTCGTTGTGGTCTTCACTCGTCTAGGCTAGCTTTCAAAGTTTTGAAGAACCGCTTCACCAAAACATCATTAGTCGTTGCCGATTGAATTTTTTTGAGATGATGATGATGAAGATTGTCTTAATTCCACTTGTCTAACAAGTTTATATCAATCAACGCTTTCTTCAAGCAATGATTGAGCTTCAGAAACCATTCTGCCATTACAATTATGGAATTCCATATTCTTTTAACATTCGGTACTAAACTGAGTTCAAAAGAAACACCACACCACACTCACATCATAAATGAAAGTGACGACTGACTGACTCAAATGACACAGACACAATCATAATCTAAACGTCACAGAACAACTAATATGGCGGCATAATAGCAGCGCGGTAAACGCATTTATTGTGTTGGGTACTCAGTAGTTACGTAGTAGACCAAGTAATTATTCATTAAACTGAGAGATGGTGCTAGACTGATTAAATGATTTGTAAATAAAAATGATTACATAAAAATTTCGACAATCTTGTCTCGTCTCGAGTCTCGGTCCCGAAAGTCCTGGGACTCGAGACAACTAAAATTTCGAAAGGTCCCGGGACTTCGAGACATGAGACCCCGGGACCCAAACCCTAGTCCCCACTTGCCCGCGCGTCGTATGCTATGTACCGACATGTTTGTAATCACTAATACTGTAAGTAGAAAGGTCGTTAGACACTTATTTCATTAGGTTTATCATATTTATGCCTGTTTCTTAACGCCAAGCCAGTCGCTTCTTATTTTTATTACGGTTATTTCCCATTTTAATTTTACGTCGTCCTATTGCGTAATGTATATTCTGATCGTAAGCGACACAATCTCCCCCTTCAAAGGCCGAAGCGAAGTGACCGGGCGGCAGGAATGACGCTTCAAGAGGCCGATAGTTTAGGTAATTTCTTTTTACAGTGAAAATAATGGTATTTAAAAAAAAGTAAATAACATAAGCACTGCTTTATAGTTAATTCAGTTAGTATGCAAAGTTTCATGATCTTATTTAAAGTATTTTATGAATAACAGCGATTTATTGTTTATTTTGGAGGTAACTTTGGATTTCTTTTCTATGGAGAAAATTTTACGAAATCGTGTTTTCATTTATCATAATCATTAAAATTAATCCTCAACTTTACCATATATTTATTTCAAAATTAATGCTGCAATATTTTCGGCATAACGAAGGATCTTGCTAAGCCATTTGAGACTATATTTCCCCTTAATATACCATAATATATCGTACATGCCTATGCAACTTTTATCGGTCTGTGTGGGTAACTTCTCATATAATGTCGGATTCATGCTTACAAAACAACAAAGGAATGATAATTCCTTTAATATTAGTGATGTTGAAAAGTAATCGATTAGTTTTGTTTTTCGTTCTAAATTCATATATGGTTACTATTTATATACACACCTGAACATTTTATATAAATAAAAATTGCGCTTAATATATACATATACATGCAACGATTGCATGATTAAGATTAATGTATTATCTAATATTTATTTACAAAACTACATAAAATTGTTAAGTTCCGACCTTAGTACTTTATTTTCAAATACCTACCAAAATGTATATTCTTATTGTGTGTCTAAATTACAGCTTATCATTATAAACAGTAAAGTAACTCGGAACACATTATTTTTGTTTGTTTATGATTCATTATTCACTTTAATTGTTCTTTGTTTTAACAGTCGTTTGTAATAATCTAAAAAAGAGTATAGGCCAGTACTATCAAAATGTTCGTGGTTTACGTACGAAATGTGATGAGTTATATAACAATATTTTATCACAAGACTATGCTTATAATCTTATTGACGGAAACCTGGTTAAAAAGTGATATTTATAATAACGAACTATGTGATCTTAGATATATATAATATAAATGTTTTTCGAAGTGATCGTAATTACCTAGTGTTAGTCTGCATACGTCGCGAATTGAGTGCATATCTATGCGGCCAATGGTCCAGTGCACCTACAAAGTCGTTGTGCGTGACTTTACGCTTGGATTCTCAGTCGATTTACCTGCTTGAAATATAATACAGAGTGAATTGAATGATATTGTTACGAGCTTGAGGTTCGTGACAATAAAAACTGCCGATTGAACACTTTAATTAACTTTACACTAATTAAACTTAAAACACTAATAATTAATCACACTGATTCACTTTATTCCACTCCGAAGCTTCGCTTGTCTCGCCAAATTCAATACATCCTCGATCGCATCTTGCAGCGCCTATAAATACACATTATCACCGAAACATCAAGAATATTCAAGTAACGACGCACACCAATCGACAAGGCATCGAAAGTTCGAGTGTCGGCTTCCAGAAGCTTAGTTCTTCGTTTCGATACTAGATGGCGCCGTCGGTTGAAAGATTAGTGATGTCATTTTCTGGAAAGATCCCCTCGCTCTCGTCCCCGACACTAGATGGCGCTAGTGCCGGGTACATGACGTCAACTTTGGCGCGCAACACTGCCCCCTCCTAAGATATGCTCGTCCCGAGCATTATCGGCCCCATAATAACGCGCCAGGTGATCCACATGGACGATCTTAGGAGTCCCTCTTGCGCCTTTCTGTAACGGCTCCGCAATGTCAAGGGCTGTCCTAACCCATGGTGCACCAACATTGTACAATTTCGATGCTCCTCTACTACGTGTCTGAGGTCCCCTCACAGCCGCACAACTTGTACATGTACGACACCAATCCTCGACATCGTCACGATAATGGACCCAGTAAAACTGTTCTCGGACCTTCAGTAGAGTTCGTTTAACTCCCAAATGGACTTTTGAACGACCCTTATGGCACAGCTGTAGAACATTCGGCACTTTAGCTTTAGGGACAACCATTTGCAAACGACAGCTGTCTCCTCGACCATTGTCCCATTTACGGCCCAAAACTCCATCCTGAAGCAGCAAGCTGTCCCATTGGGCCCAATAGCTTTTAGTGGTTGAACTCATCGCTGAGACGTCGCTCCACTTAGGCTTGGTAGCACGGGCCTTCATCCATTCCAGAATCGGCTTGATGTCCGGATCTTCCTGCTGTGCATGTCGTAGGCTGTCCTTCCACTCGTTGCTGAGGTGGTCTGTCATCAGGATGCTCATCCTCACGGACACCACTTCCTTACTCTCTTGCCTAGTAAAATGTTTCCAATCTTCAGGAAAAGGTCTTCTTAACAATGCATCTGCGTTGCCATGAGATTTCCCGCTGTGATATCTGATAGTAAAGTCGTATTCCTGCTGCTGCCGGGCGGTGATCTTAGCCGCACTTCCCTTCTGAGATCGTTCACCTTCCCCTTCTAGGGTTCGCTTAGGGCAGCTGGATCGAAGATGGCCCCTTTCCCCACAGCCATAGCACCTAGGGCTGTATCCTTTATTGTGGTCGTGAACCGTAACTGCTGCAACCTCCCTAGCGTGAGGGGAAGGACGATCCTGCCACCACCAGGCGGTGCCGTTAGCTGCACTACCCTCTCGAGATCGATCAATTTCCCTTTCTACAG